GGCGGGGGATCATTAAGCTTGGGCCTGGAATTTCTGGTACCTGAGGTTCTTTAAAGCATGTAATAGCCTTCCAAAGTTTGGTTGTAGCCGTTACTGGTTTTTTGTCTTGATTTTGTTTTGCTCAGCGTAGAAATAGTATGAAATAACTGGCATTTGTTTTCTTTAAACAGATCTGTGATCCCATCTTTCCGCGACCCCATGGCATCCTTCTTCCACTATCTCTTGCTCAGCATTCGCGCAGTCTCCGTCACCTCAGCCGGAGCCCAGCCCGGAACCGAATATATTTATTTTTCCTCGCCAGACAGCCTAGAAACTCAGTTCAAACCTGTATGCACCAATTGCTGAGGCGCAGCGGAAGGCGCCCACCAGGCAACACATCTCGCGCCAGGCTTGGTGCATGCCTAAGGTATGTGAAGAGTGTCATGATGGCTGGGATGGAGTCCAGGCGTGCACGTGGTTTCCATAAGGAGACATGGCCTTGAGGAGGCCTGCATGTTGGGCGCCACTCTCCAGTGCTGCCTGCCACTGGTTGGATTTCTGCCATGTACTCAGATGCCCTGGCTGGCGGTCTCCTTCGCCGTTTTTTTGGTCGTGGTTGAGGATAGAGAATCCAGCCGTAGATAAGTTTAAACGTGAGGCCACGGCAAGTCCCGCGGGTCGAAGAAGACTTTTTGTGATTGTGATTTTGTACAAGGCCGGTGTTCTCGCATTCTTCGCAGCAGCAGCTATCCTGGCATTAGTTGAATACCATTGTATAAATGAGCGTTTTGGTTATGTGCATGATATGAAAAGTTGCGCTGACGAAAGACGCTTTTGGCGATACACCGACACGTGACGATGTTCCTGGGCATGGACATCATTGCCATCTCTTGTCATATGTTATCGCGCTACGTTGCTGGTGACCATTTTGTCCGCAGAAATTCGGTCGGCGACAGCAAATATATTTTGACCGCCCCTGTTCATATCCACAGTAAAGCTCGGATGCAAAGAAAAGCTCACTCATGTAGCAATCGTGGCTAGGTTACGGGTTAGATGTCATATTCGTTATAATGATGTTTCGTTACACTTTATTTTGCATTGTGGTGATTCGAGATTTAGCGATTAATGATGCCATTTAGAAACTAATGTACGCTTTCTCAATGCACACCGGCATCCAGATTACACGCTATTTGGCATTGTCTCGCCATGTTTTGCGTGTCATGTAACGTTTTGCACGTAGCATCCATCGAGCACACAAGAGACCATAGCAACGTGACATCATCTGCACTTTGTGGTGCTTGGACTGGCGAAGGTTTTCAGTATGTATTTTAAGCTTTAACGCGTGGTCTTCAACTCCACTTCATATATCCTGTGTCTCTTACTATCCAGCTGGGACGCCAGGTGGATATTTCTCATGAGGCACATCGAGTTCTCTCATGGCAGCATAAAAGAGAAAGCACATCATTTTTCCCACGGCTGCCCCTGAAATGTGTCGGGAATCCCAACCCAATGAGCTGAGTTCCCAGTACCCACCTTTTCATTTCCCGCGAGACCTTTCGCACAGACGTCCCACCTACAAGCGGGGCCCTTGCAAGACATTGACTTGTTCACATATACCAACAATTCAGACACGGTTGAACTCACTCACTTCGTCCGTCATTAGTCGGAGCACTACAAAAGCTCATATCGACCTTTATCATGAACATTTGTAATTTGGCTTTTCGCTGCAATAAATCGTTTTTAGCAACATAGCTATTCAGTTGAACGCCCGGCCGCCCGTACACTGTGTGCCAACGAAATATGAGACCATCCGGGAAAATGACGCTCATCGGAAGTGTTCCGACAGGGGCTGGTAACCTTAAAAGCTTTCAACTGTGGCTTCGGAATCAAAACATGTACGTGTATGTCCCCTGAATATGCATCACGACTTACGGCGTGGAAAGACCACGGCACGGACTAGAGTTGAGATCTGATGGGGTTTGTAGATGGTGCAGTCACCTACGCCGCGCGGCTGGTTTTACATCTATATCCATTGTGTTTTGTGATATTGTGTACAAGTCCTTAAGAAAGTATCAAAATAGTTGGATCAGTGGCTTGCGTGCCTAACACTCCACTCACACATGTCAACCAGTACCTGTTGTCAGTGCTATTGTCCATTCTGCCAGCCATCAAAATGCGTTGCTCGCGTGTAGTCGCGACACCAGGTCGTCGAGATTTTGAACCAGATTCCACTGGTATTCTCCAGCGTCTTCGCATTACAAGTTGTTACGTTTCCTGTGTTTGTCGAATGGAGGAGGTAGGCGTGTAATTATATGACAACGTTGCAGGGAAACATCACTCTATCTCTCTATCAGCTTGCACGCAAACACACTGAGAACAGAACAGAACAACGTTTTAGTAGTTGTGTTTACCATTACCAAAAAAACTAGATGTTGTATGGCTAGTCAATGCAAAGACATGCAAGATACGAACATGCCATAAGAGTGGTCCAGACAGGCAATTCGAGCCGCAAAATGTATGGTACAGACAAGTCCGATCTGGCACTTGGTTGGTAATGACGACTGGCTGAGGAAAGTCCCGAGTTCGTCGGTTTTTTTTTGTTGTCTGCCGTACTACGCGCTTGGTTGCGCAACAAACCTCACAAAATGTTTGACCTGGTCTATTTTAGTTGAGCTTTGAGCTTTAGTTGAGCTCACCTAAGTCACCTGAATACTTTGTATTATCCGAAGAGGAGTTCTTGAATGTTAAGTTAACCTTTGATCTGCTTCTAGACAAGGTCAATCTGGTGTGGAGAAAGGCGTTACTCTAATATTGGTGATCATAAATGGTGGGCATTGAATTACTCAATGCGTACAAAATGCAAGGTTAGATGTTGCGATAGGTGCATTATTTTTGCACGCCAGAAAAGTGCAAGCTGCAACAGCAGCTAGCAAAAGGGTGCTGCACCTTATGGTGCTAAAGAGAAACGCGCCGTTCATATTTTCCCTTCGCAACCGCCAATAAAAGAGAGGCTCGTTTGCAATGACTGACCACGGGATCATCTATCAAACATTTTTAAATCGCGACGATTATTAACGACGTCCGATAACTCACCTGACTTATTAGCCAGCTATCGAGCTCGGTGCCGAGCAGCTGTCATTTATCATGGGATTGACGCCGACGATCGGAAGGCGTGGAGGCCCGCTCACGCATCTCCCGACCAGGCGTCATGTAGAAATGGCCAGGCCGTGTAGTCACACGCATGTATGCGCATATCTGCGGTTATATATATATATATATATATATATATATATATATATATATGCATTTGTACTAAATAAATGACCCAACCGCACATAAATATCAGCGGAAATGGCTCCCGCTGACACACGGGCTCAGCTACTGTCACAGTTCAGACACTGTTCTGCGGAGAATGCCGTAAGTGTATGATCGGAAGTTGTCGCCCAGTTGCTGCTTTGCGCGGAAAGGTTGGGTCTTCAGGTATGACCAGGGACATTGGCTCCAGCAAGGAACAGTTTTAAGCAGAGGCGTAGTTTTGCACAATTAGTTGAGAGCACAGCAGTGACAAAGTACGAAACCTTTCCTCCAATTACGCAACAGACTGGTTTCTCTCCATATTTGACCCAACTTCTTCTCGAAGTTGGTGCAGGGGGGGGGGGGGGCTAGTTGCAGGAAGGGCAGAAGGTCACTGATGTCGTGCGTAGAACATTGCGGAATTTATTGAAAATGAATGTATAAATAATAAGTCATGTTAACATGCACATGGAGTGTCCTCTAAATGCCTATCGCCTTGAAAGGGCTGGGAGATGAAACCCACCGTCGCACAGTGTATGATTTATAAGGCATGAAAACACATAAAACTCGTGGCAGGTAGAGTTCCCAATAGACCAATTGGTATGTAACTTAGTGCCGCTAGGGCGGCGGTGCCTAGGTGGAACAAGCAAAAGGTTTTGAAATAGGTTAATTGTTGCGCGGTTTGGGCCGCTGCCCTGCGTAATCTACCCGTTGAAATTGGAGTATAGTTAAATGAGACATTACCAGGACCGCTGATGCCATTTCCGAGCTAAGAAATCAGATGTGTAATTGATTTCAGGACATGATGTATAAATTGGATTCTGAGGCATTGCTGCCTTATGCACGGTGTTTTCGTGTGCACCTGTAGCTTCATAATATTGCACTTTCCATATTGTTCACCTGTTTTAGTGCCGTTGTTCTGAAGCGACACGCCAGGGTCCCATTTGAATGCAGAGTAAGCAGCCAGTTCAGTTGTGGCTGTTATTATGACGTTCACAAAGGCGCGAAGAGACGGATTTCGCCGGCTTCCAGTGCGTTTGTGACTATTCCCCCAGGTGCTGATTGCATGTTTCAGAGCTGAACATCAAATGAAAGTCACATACACCTCCGCACAGGAATGGAAATTCTTGTATTGCTTGATCAACAAACCGATCATATCAACAACCTTGTATCGCAATATTTGGTACAAACGACACACAAGAAACAATTGGACGAATGCTTGAAGCCCACCATATTTACAAACACCAACTGCAGCCCAGAACCCTGCGTCTAGTGTTCGACCTACCGTCTATGCAGTACTTCCCTACTCTATATTAACGGTGTACCACATCCAATAATAAATATTAAGGATCGTGCTAGGAATTTGTTACGGCTCGTTCTCATTTTCGATGTCATGTCCACAAATGGGCGTCGTTGGGCGCCGCGGTCCGCCTCCCATCGTCGGACACCGTTCTGCCGACACATTCTAATGAGTATACACCGCTGCAGGCCGGTGGAGGCAGCACTGGGACCGATCGAGGCCCGTGCCCGGCCGAGGGCTGCCCCTGTCGTCACCGGCCGTCGCGCCGCCCGCGGCCGGTCACACGCCGCGGCCGCGGGCCGAGAGCGAGCGCGGCGGTATGCCGCCTCGGCGCCCCGCACGTGACGACGGCCGCCGGCGGCGAGCTGGGCGGGCTGTGACGTCACGCGCACCCAGCGAGCTGACTCGGGTCGAGCCGGGTCGGCGGTCACGGCGAGATGTCCGAGATCAGGTGGCGTCGGCCGCGGACCGCCCGCCGGTCCAGTCTGCAACGCAGGCAGCCACGCTGATGTCACGGGCCGCGTCACGGCGGGCGTCGATCCGCCGGGCCCGCGTGCGACTCTGTGACACCTTGGCCTCGACCTTGCGTCCGCAGTGATGCTGGACCGCGCGTTCAGACACCTGACTCGGACACAGTGCTGATCGTCCTCGGCCAAACACATGGGAGGAAGCCCCGCAACTGCCAGGTCGCTGCGGTTACGGAGAGGGATGTTCCCAACCATAGAATATTTACATATCTTGTGGATGTCAGACGATCGAGCGGGCCGTAATCGCCTCCCTCGCAGCCGCGTCGGCTGGTACTCCGCCATTTACGGGACAGGCGCTGATTTGTATGCTAGCTGCGGTCCCCGAATTGTCGTGTTTGGCTCTTTTTGCGGGAGTTGCGGCGGCATCGCATCACGACAGAGGGCACCCGAGCGGGGTCACTAATTGCTAATAATCAGTTGTCACTTAAAGACTGCGACGCAAAAATGCACGCGCCATTTAATGCACCTGCCGCCACCGCGCAAAAACGACATCTTTGCATGACAAAAACGAATGCGGCGTCGGTGACGGTCCATATTTTGAGCATATGCCCGCCGTTGCTAGCCAAATGGTCACCTCCGCTGCGCGCGTTTTTAAACGGTGCCGACTATGTCGTTCTGGTATGTCGACCAGAAAATTGGTCATCCAGCACATTATTATTCACACGGTTCGGCGGGGGCAAAGTACTTGAACTCGGCGGCGCAAAAAGCACGCACGGCGCGCACCGACTCACCGTAGGGAGCCGGGCATCCCGGCAGCGGCGGCGGCGGCGGCGGCGGAGGCCCAGGACGCCACGCGCATGTCCTCGCGCACCTCGTCCCCGGACAGCTCCGACGGCGACGACGCCGATGACGCGGACAGCGACTGTCCGAAGTCGTGCAGTGTGGAGACGTCGGCCCAGCCGGCGAGCAGGGGCCGGGCGTCGGCCAGGCGCGGCTCGACCAGGCGCGGTGAGCGGCCCGCTTCGGCCGCCGGCGCCGCCACCAGGTCCGGCACGCGCTGGTTCGTCTCCTGCCAGGGTGGGCTGAAGGACCAGGCGAGCGGCTCCTGCGCGGCCGGCGCCTCCGCCGCCGGCTCTGGACCCTTGAGGTGCGGCCCGGGCAGCCGCAGCGGCGAGAACCGGGCGGCGGTGAGGACGGCCGCGTCGCCGCCACCGCCGCCGCTGCCGCCCCCGCCTCCGCCGCCGCCACCCCCGCCGCCGCCGGAGAACCCGAAGTGGCCGTCGGCGCGCCGCTCCGAGCCGGGCGAGGCGGCGTGCTGCGGCGATCCGCGTCCGCCCCAGCCGGCGTAGCCGCCGTAGCCGCCTGGCTGGCCGTAGGCCATCAGTCGCCGCTTGATGGGTACCGGCTGGCGGGGCGGGCTGCCGGCCGGCGGCACGACCGTCGGAGCGCAGAGCCGGCGCCGCGGCGACGGCGGCGTGGCCGGCCGCCGGGGCGGCGATGGGTACGGCTGCGGACACGGCGCCGGGTCAGGCCGCTCGGCCGCCGCCGCGCCGTAGCCGTGTTCGTACCGCGGCCACTGCGCTGGCTCCAGCGCCGGGTACGAGTGGTACGGCCCGCCGGGCAGGCCGTACTGGGCCGCCGGCAGCACCGGCGAGCCCAGGTGGTGGGCGCCCGGGTGCGGCGAGATGGGCGCGTGCAGGTAGGCCGAGTGCAGCGCCGCTTCCGCCGCGTGTGGGTGGTGGTGCGAGTAGCTGAGCAGCTGCTGGTAGTAGGCGGGCGCCGACGCCTGCGCGTCGTACTGGAGGCTGTACTGCAGCTTGCCTTGCATCGAGTAGTAGTGGTAGAGCCAGGCGTTCGCTCGCATCACGGCCGCCTCCTCCTCACTGGAACAGAGACGGGCCGCGCTGAGGTGACGGTGGCCGCAGCGGGCTGCTCGTGACTCGACGGCCGGCCCAGCACGCCCAGACCAAAACCACCGGTCGCTATCGCGTGCGGCGAAAGTGACAAATTGGTCAAGGCGGACTCGTAAACCAGCAGAGCAGCGAAATAAACACGCGCCGGCGATGAGTTTTGAAACCGCTAATTGGCCGAAACAGCCTGAGACTGCCCAATTTATGTTTCCTTTTTTATCTGTTGACCATCTGCATTCAGGCAAATGCTGTTACCATCATAGTCCATTCAACGAGCGTCGATGTTACATCCATGGGGCATCACACGAAACGTAATCAGTTCCCCTTCTGGCATGGTGCAGCAGCTGACCGTCAACCTTCAGCTTAGCGCATCTCAAACGTCAACAATCATTAGTGATGACTGCCTCAGGGGCGCCTTCTCCGGCTGCGTGCGCTGAGGCCAAGTCTGCAGGCGGTTATTTTTAGCGAGTTTTTAGCCATTGCTGCCAGACTAGCAAGCCGTAGATATTAAAGAGCAGATAATTGGGCCATTAATTACTCGAAGGCTAAGCTGCCTAAGCTGGAGAAGACAAAGTTGACAGGACACCGCCGGCTGTCCTGCCACCAATAGCCGTTGTGATCAGCCCGCGTGGATCGGACTTTCCGGATGAGCTTGGCGACGACTATCAGTGCTATCTGAGACCTTGCTACGACGTCGTTCTGTTCACAGCCACGCCAAGAATAGAGGGCGTCTGAGGTCGCATCCGCAGGCAAAAATCGGCCGCCGTCTTTGGCTAGCAGAGCACCTATAATCCGCCTAGTTGCACCGGCTGCCGTTTTTCGATCGCCGCGCCCGAAGAAAATTTTATCTGGGCGCCTCAGTCGACGGCGAGCTGATTTCGGTCGCGATATCGGTGGCCGCCAAGGCCACTGTGAGCGTCCACAAGGTCAGGCGGCGGGTGGCGCATGCAGCGGTGGGAGCTGGCCGGCCGGTCGCACCGGTCGGCCGGGCCGCCCCGCTGGCGGCCGGGGCGCGGCGCCGTGCCGCTGTGCGGGTAGGCTGTACCGGATGTCGAGCGGGTGGCGGCCGGCCGTGGGACCGCCACCAGCGGGCCGCCAACGCGGCGCTAAACCGCCGCGCCGCGGCCGTGCGAATGAGTTCTGTAAAAACGCCGCTTGTGTAATACCCGGCGACACCTGATCGCACCGATACCGTCGCCGCGATGGCGTGGGTAGTTGGGCTGTGCAGACGTACACAGCGCAGCCGGAGTCGAAGCAATGTGCAGCGAGACGGCGCACCGTCATAGCGAAGACCTGCCGCAAGCGGCGGTGACCGGCGGGGGCTGGCGGTCGCCAGAGGGGACGGAAACCACTGGTGGTGACCGGTGGTGTCTTCCACCGAGGTCCCCACCCAGTCAGCGGTTCTCCAAAGTCCGTTGTCACCGCAGATCCGACACGCACCTGAGCACCTGGCAGGTACAGATGATGACCGGGTGCTGTGAGCTCTCCAGGTTGTCCTTGACCTGGAGCACGCAGTGGGCCCACAGCCAGTGGCCGGAGCGCGCCTGAAGCCGCAGCAGCAGGATGCAGGCCCGGTCCTGGTCCGACGTGCTGACTGCAGACGTCAGGAGCAAGTGTCAGGAGCGCCGGCGGTCGGTGTCAGCAGCGAGCGTTAAGGGTGCCGGCGATATGTGTCAGGAAGGAGTGTCTGGAGTCTCTTCGGTCGGTGTCAGCAGCTAGCGTCAAGGGTGCCGGCGATATGTGTCAGGAAGGATTGTCGAAAGTCTCTTCGGTCGGTGTCAGCAGCGAACGTCAAGGGTGCCGACAATATGTGTCAGGAAGGAGTGTCTGGAGTCTCTTCGGTCGGTGTCGGGAGTGAGTTTCGGGAGAGCCAGCGTGTGTGTGCATGAGCGAGTGACTGACGAGTTTCGGTGACTATTGTCAGCTGACATAACGCGTCAGGAGTCTTGAGTAAGCTATAAGAGCATGTATTAAGTGTGGAGTGGGAAAGGGGCACCAGTGTTAGGAGTTAGTACTAGAAATGGACCAAAAATGCGATTCGGGGTTCAGCTCAGAGGCGAGTGCAAGGAGCGAGTGTCGGAAGTTGGGGAGGGGGGGGGGGAGGGAGACATAAAAGAGCGTCAGAAGTGGGTGTCAGGAGCGCGAGTCAGGGGCGAAAATCAAAGGCTAATAACACTGGTGATTGTTTGAATCGAAAGGTGATTCACGGAGCACGAGGAGTGAGCATCAGGCAGGCACCAAAGAAAATATCGCCATACGTGTCGGGAGCATCGTGCCAGCGTGCTAAAAGCGAACGCTTGAAATGGGCGATCGAAACTGCACATTTTTTTCCCCAAGATGACCAATAGGCATAAACGGTGAAGTTCTACATCCTAGAAAACTTGGAAAGTAGATGTGCACACGTAAACGCATCTAGACTCAATGAGGTGCTCTTAAATAACAGAGGTCGTTGAGATATCAAGACGTCTAGGGAATCATGCCTAAATATCGCTGGACGACCCCGGTACTCAGTGCCCTGCCTTGGACTGGCCATGACCTCATTGTATCCTTTGATGCCTCAACACGGATACTGACGCCGCCTGGACCAGTCGCACAGCTGCAGACGGGCCCTTGAACCGAGCGTGCTTATCCAAACAGGAGGATCTGCCGGCGGACCGGGGACCACTTACTCAGCTTGTGCTTGGTCTGGACGTCTCGCATGTTGTCCCAGTGCACCAGCTGGTACCAGGACAGGCCTTGGATGTCCGAGGTCCGGTAGCCCAGGTAGAACTCCCCACTGCAAAAAAAACACGAGCGTTAAACGGCGCGGTGCGCATGCGCAAACAGAGTTCGCCAAACGATGCTTGTGGCTTTATTCTAATGCTGCACGGACCGAGACGGACATGTCGAACTCAGTCCTCCTCCCGCTCCCAAGCAGGACACCGCGTCGCAGGATGCAGCGCAAGATACAGGATGCCGTGCAGGACGCTCCACACGCGGCACACCTGACCTTGGACACGAGATGAGGTAAAGACGTGCGACGGTGTTAAACAGTCTGCCGCCAGCCGCCCGCCAGCTCTCGGCTGTGTGGACAGACGGCACTGAGCATCAGATCAGTGCTGACGTCACCGCAGACAAGCAGCTCGTGCGCTCAGGGAGACTGACGAGGCTGCACGAGCATTGAGCAGGCGTAGAATCTGACAGCGTCGCCCGCCTGCTCTAACAGTTGTGAGGCACGGGCTGCTTGCGGATGGGCCCCATTTTCATCGCATCTCTTGAGCACTTCCCACAAACATACCGGAGCACAAATATAATTGGAACTATTTGTAATCAAAAGTCTGCCTAAGACAGCTGCGTCGGCGGAAAAGCGCTGATGCAGGTAACTCTCCGATCTTCCACGTGAAGATTGATACGTACGCACATCAACCTAACGTGCGAGCAACGCATCCGGATTCTGATCCGGCCAGCACAGGGATGACGCACAACGGTGCGTCGCGCGCGTCATGCAAGTTCCAGCGGACGTTCATGATGCCGTGCGAATGGCAAAAGCATATTCTGGATGGCATGCGTGTGGTGGTAAATGGTGGTCATAACCGAGGGGGTATAAGCAATCTTTAACTGTGTGTGGGGGGGGGGGGATATCGGTCCATGAACAGGCATCGATGTAAGTGGAATGGGCCGTCAAAAAAGCGCTGGTATGCGCGTTCAGAGTGATTGGTTCTTTAGAACTTAAAGCGTTGGCACTTATATACTTGAACAGATGCCTAACTAAAACTGCAAACATGTATCTGAATCAAGAGAATTAGAAAATTTCACTCCTAACGACTCCGAGCGCACAGTCACACATTTAGTAGCTTAAATCGACATAATCCTGTTTGCGACGGACATTTAATTTGCCGATCATTACTCAACGCAAGCTGCAGCCGATCTTTCACGTCTCTGAAATGCTTTTTTGTCTTCAACTGTGTCATAAACGTAACCATATTTCATTCCCGTATTCATCGGAGTCGGAAATTGACAAACTCAACATTCAGGCACATTATATTAAAATAGGCCAATAATTTAGGCACATATGTCCAATAGTTAACGAGGGTGAGTTGGGTAGAGCACAGCTATAAGCCATACTGTTGGTGCACTCGTACTTACAACGCATTTGACCCGGGTACTTAAGTTGGTACCTTAGTCTCTGCCTATCTGGCAGATTAACGGGCGTAGCTTCTCAAAACGCGGTAGAGAGACTGAGCAGGAAGACATGGTTAAACCTTCCACCAAAATGCACAAAATATGACTTCCTCCCAAATTTGGCTCACTTCTCAACATTTCGTGCTAGAGTTGCCAACTGAAGAGGTAATGACACCACTGGTGCCTGGGCAAATCTTTTAGTGAATCAATTGTATAAACATCCATTGAGTAAATATACTACACGTTAAATAGCACACAAATGCATATATATATATATATATATATATATATATATATATATACATGATATAAATCTGCTGGGCCAAAGAACGTGACATGACTTGCAGCCAAACAGCTACTTGAGCTAGTAGTTAAAACCAGCACTGTCAGACCGGTTGAGCTAATGCGAATGTCGGCTCCAGAGTCTCAGAATATGTATTGCATTTGGGTGTTTTAAAGTAAGAATTGCATCTATTTCTTAAATTGTATCTGAACTGGTATCAGGGGATGTTTGGGTAGCATCCCGCCGGGTTGTGCAATTAACAAGTCTCGAAAACTGGCATCAGCGATCAAAATAGCAATAATGCCACTCTAACCAACCAGCTCATTTATGCTTAGGGCTTTTTATTTGTTGTCGGCAGACGTGAAACTTTCCCTGTTTTATCTAGTCATTTAACGAAATGTTAACGGTTTGCGTGAATGCATTCCAATATCGAGGTAAAATTAAATGCATGCCCAAAGCTAACACAGAACCCATGTCATCGGTTTAACCTCTGTACAAGTCTGTCATCGTTTACGTATAACTAAAGGAGAAGATTAATGTATCCCAAAGCCACCGTTCGAATCCCCTTACATGCATTTTTCTACGGCGGTTGCAGCTAATCGATCGCCTCATAGTTGGCTATCCTGCTGGTGGGAAACCGGTCCTATATGCACTCAGAATGCCTTGCAGCAAAGCCCGGCACACGCAGCACCCAGTTTGTAGTTGCAAATCTGATGTCGCATGAGCATAAGCTCAAATGTTTGACGATAACTATGAAGATACGTTCCGTGTTGAAAAGTGCTGACAAGCCCTGGATTTTTGCTGACATTCTTGTTGGAGGAGCTCTACTAAAAATATGTACGACTTGCATCATCTGCATTTTCAGCATCTGCATGTTGGGATATACAGTGCAGAGAAGTTCCATTTCTCCTTTCCAGCATCATTCTCGCAGTTGGCAAAGCACACTCAATCTTGAAAGAAGGGACAGCGACATCAGTGCCCTTTGTAATATATGCCTACTCCGCTAGCATTTGGGGAAGGGCATGCCTCACCATTTTCAAAGTGGGGCTCCGCTCTGTTAGTGAGATCCCGTGAACGCAGCAGGGGCATCAGCGGTGGATGCTCAAGCGCCGTTGACATCAACATATCCTCTGCATGCCAATACCATACCCACAGAGTTCAAACGTACATTTACCGAACATGCGACCCGAAAAATTGGCATTGCGTTTATCACCCGACCAAAAAAGCCGAACAAAAACCGTGTAAGCGGTATGGAAAAAGCAATCTGGACCGGACAGCGCCACACAGGGCTTATCACTATCCATTAGAGACCGGACTGATAACCGGACGCCGGGCTCGTGGGGTCGTCTGGTGACAAACCACCCTGCAGGGCGCTCACGACCTGTCCCGGGCTGCGATGTCTGGGTACGGCTCGCTTCATGTGGGCTGTTGGTGACCAGACCCCTCTGATCATCTGGGTGTCGGCGCGCTATTTCCCTTGAGTTTGTATGATTATCCAAATGATTCCTTGCGATGACCTTTGAGTTATTTCAGCGGACGGATCTCAGTCGGTGCGGGCGATCATTCGTATTAAACACACTCTTTGGATTGGGGGCATTAAAGTTCGACCCACCTGTCGTAGATCCTGAACGTGCACTGCATGGAACCGGACAGCGCAAAAGCGAAGCATGACAAAGCGTGCAAAGCTGCCTGGTCTGAGGATAACAAAGCCAATAATCAACAGGAAAATAATGCATTAAAGGGTCGGGCGTCAACTCTGAATGTGTGCCACAAGTCTTCTTTAAAACGTTATATCAATCCAGGAGTGGTCCAGGAAACCAGTTGCCTCTAAAATGCTCGCATATTGGTTAAGGAAGGGAAGTCATCTCTTCACCGTCATCTTCCCGTGTTCGAGCGCTTCAGGCTACCAGGCAGACGGTTCTGTTTTTTCGGACATCGCTGGATATGTCATGATAAAAATGAAGCTGTGTTTGACTGCATCGCGGTTTATTCTAAAAATGCAGAAACCAGTGTGACCATGAAGCCGATTGCGGAAACTTCCCAGCGTGCCGCCATGGACAACAACAGCTGCAGGACACCTAATTCGCACGGAAAATGTGTTCATGAGGGATAATAACGCTTCAGCACTTCAAAGACGAGCGAGCACAACACGGTGTGTTATAAACGTAGCATACGGAAATCCGGCCTTATACACCTTGTGTCCATAATGCAACATCACTCTATTGAATGATGCAACGGCCACTCTCTTAGTCTGAGCGCATTTACAGGAGGGCGTAGGCGCCCATGGTTATTACGGTGTTCATCTGCTCAGCACGTTTCGTTGCGCCCAGCTTATCTTCTGTCCCGGCAGAGCCTCCCGCCTCAAGATGGCCGAGCCGTCGGCGGCGGGATCCGGCGTCACTCGGGCCCTGATGGTAGGTGCGGCACCGCTGTGCCCTGCTGGGAGGTCCGGGACGCTGCCAGGGAAGCAGACGGGGCTCTGCGCCGACCGCGCTCGGCTGGGGCAGTCTCGAGCCCGGCAACGGCCGCGCTCGGCTGGGGTAGTCTCGAACCCGGCAACGGCCGCGCTCGGCTGGGGCAGTCTCGAGCCCGGCAACGGCCGCGCTCGGCTGGGGCAGTCTCGAGCCCATCAACGGCCGCGTTCGGCTGGGACAGTCTCGAGCCCGGCAACAGCCGCGCTCGGCTGGGGCAGTCTCGAGCCCGGCAACGGCCGCGCTCGGCTGGGGCAGTCTCGAGCCCGGCAACGGCCGCGCTCGGCTGGGACAGCCTCGAGCCCGGCAGCAGCCGTGCTCGGCTGGGGCAGTCTCGAGCTCGGCAACGGTCGCGCTCGGCTGGGGCAGTCTCGAGCCCGGCAACAGCCGCGCTCGGCTGGGGCAGTCTCGAGCCCGGCAACGGCCGCGCTCGGCTGGGGCAGTCTCGAGCCCGGCAACGGCCGCGCTCGGCTGGGACAGTTTCGAGCCCAGCAACGGCCACGCTCGGCTGGGGCAGTCTCGAGCCCACCAACGGCCGCGCTCGGACACTCAGACGAGGCGGCGGAGTTGGGATTCCGCCAGTCGACAGACGGCTCCAGCAGCATTAGACGACCGCCTAAAAACGACGCCTCATAATCCGCCAGACACTAAATGAACATTAGCCAGGGTCGGCGCCGGCGATTTTCTAATGGACAGGGGCGCCCTCGGCTACAAAAACAGTGGCGCGCCGTCTCCGACACCCGTATCAGGGCGGCTGACCCTGCCCCGCGCTCCGCAGCCCGATATGCGCCGGTCGGCAGCCGTCTCCTCTTAATGGTCCGCGCCGACCGCGCGCGAGTCGAGCGCGCCCGAGCGCCGGTC